AATTTGGAGCTGGACAATGGTGAAAAATTGAGCCACACTGATGACATGTTTCAACCTGAGGGAAGAATTGTCATTAGACATGACCACCAATAAGCAATAGCGAGGGACAAAACCAGGCTGAGAGATGACCGGACAGTCACAAACAATCTAACTGGCATTGCGTTTTAAATGTATTGGGAGGCAAATTTCAGCATATGAGAAATAAGAACCCTTCTGAAATTCACCTCCTTTTAATCATCATGCAGTGTCGTCATTTAACTAGAAAAACGCGCATTCTCTCAATGGTCATTTATGAAGGGGACCTGGGATGAAATTAGCATCTGACTAGGTTAAATAAAGTCGGTATTGCATGGTGAATGGTTAATTCTGTGAAGGAAGGATAAAGACATCACTGAATGTGGCCTGTGAGTTCTGTAGGGGCACAGACTGGGTTCTTTCCCCTCCTTCAGGAAGTCCCCATGGAGTCTGTTTTGAAATAAGCGTTTCCTGCTATATAAAGTCTGATACATTGTATTCCAGCTCCAGAGAAAGAGCAAATGGAATGTCACATTTTCTGATGTAGATTTCTAAAGCACACAGGGGATTAAATTCTAAATGTCTCAGCTGCCAGAGGCCCCTTCAGACTTCCCCCAAATGAGAAACAAAGAAGGAATGAACTTTCCCTGAAGCAATTCATCAGATCTACTTGGGCACAGTGGCATCCTCTTGAGCTCATAAGGATAAGTTGCCCCAAGTAATTCAAGGGTTTGCAGCTGCTTGGAATATTGGAGAAAGGTTTCTCTGGTCTTTAGCATGCTTTTCCCATGGCCTGATGAGTTCTTGCCCACTAGCTAGTTAATATCCATCAAGAAGGCAACAGTTAGGAGCCAGTAAGTTGGGTCTGTTGGGTAAAGTGCTTGTAACAAGCATGAACATTCAAGTTCGGTCCCCAGAAGCCATGTAAAAAGCAAAGCCACACAGAATGAACCCCTGGTTACCAGCATCGGAGAGAGACCACAGAGATGGGAGGACTGGGGGCTCATGGCTGGCGAGCCCAGCTGAATCACTAAACTCTGCATTCAGTGAAGGACCTTGTCTCAAAAGTGTGGGGAGGGATTAGTAAGATGTCCTGTCTGGCTTCTGTGTGTGTGTGCATATACACAATCACATCTGGCTTCCTCTTGTATGTCTCCCCCACACAATCACTTTGTGTGACTTCTACACCCAAACACACAATCACACTGTGACCTCTGGCTTCCGAGTGCTTACACATGTACACAGTATGTACGCGTTTATGTACACAAAAGAATTTAACTGAAAAAAAAAAGAATTTAACTGACTCTAGCAACCTAATAACGCCTTCCATTTTTAGAGTCTGTTGTCTAGCGGTGTTCGAATTTTTCACTCATTGTAATCTTGGTGCGTCTGACCTTAGAGGAATGGTTGTTTTTATATGTTTTGTTTTGTGCGTCATGAAACATCTGTTGGACCAAGCCTTTCACATGTCTACTGGCAAGTATTCACAAGTATTGACTTTTATTTTCTCGAGTCTAATTTGGTGGTTCTTTTATCTTCAAGTTGTTCTGATGTTTTCTGCTGCCCCCCTGTCTGTGAAACTGATCTTCTGAGTGTTGACTAGCACATGGCAATTGCAGAATAAATTTTTATGATCAGTTTAGCATAATCTGTCAATCATAGTGTACATAGCGGCCTTATCAAATGTTCTAACGATTCTGACAAAAAGTGGCCCACGCAATCGCTTCTCCCGCTTCCATAGGTGCCCTATTTGACAAGCAAGGCCTGAACTCTCCCTCCTAAGAACACCAGACCTCCCTTCCTCTGGGCCCCTTAATCACCCAGGCAGCCTCCCTTAACCTCATTTGACACATGATATTTCATTATCTGCTTTCCCTGCCAACTCTTGTGACTCTTGGAGGTTGTTCTGCCTGGTTGATTTCATTTTCTTTCTCAGAACCTTCCCTAGTCCAAACTCGGTATGAATTCCAAGGTGTGGCTACCTTTATGTGCGTCGTGTGCATTGGTGCTCAGTTCACTTCGCCATCCTCGGTGTCTCCTGCAGATATACACGCATGCTCTCTGCATGCAGCCATGTGTGTGCCCGAGTGCCCAAACCATGGTCTTCACTGTGGCTCTGGTGTGGCAGAAGTGACTTCTAGGGAACACACATCTGTGTCAGGGCCTGTTGTCCCTGCCTTACAGAGCTTCAAGTTACACCTCCTCTGAAGTTCCAGGATGGTTTGTGTCAGTGCGTTACTCCCATGCAGAACAAGGGTAGCATCGCCTTAGACAGAGGGAGAAAGAACCTGGCCACCATAACGTAGCAGAGTGGGGGGCTGGAGGTCTGAGCTATGAAAAGACGACCCCCGGCCCTGTGAATACAGTTCCAGGTACAGTGAGAGGGGCGGTGCCTGCTCTCCACCCGGTAGCCCATCCACTCTTGGCTCATTTTAGCTCCTTGAGTAGCCCAGAGACAGGCGTCTGTTCCAGGGGCACAGGCTTTTGCTACCCTGACTTCATTCTGTTCTGAAGTTTCTCTCTCGAAAGTGGTTGGCTTACTTTTGTCTCCTGCAGGTATTCTGTAGGCGTGGCTGTTGTTGGATTAGGAAGGATCCTCTGTGCCTTTGTCCCCAGGCCTCCAGCTGTGCAAGTTCAGCTGCTAAGAGAAGCAGAGGGCCTGCTGGGTTCAGGAGTAGACAAGAGCGCACAGATCACGTCTGGGGCTCCTTCGGAGCAGCTGTTGGTCTGAGTGGTGACAGAAAAGTGTGACTGGCCTCTTTGGTTTTATTGAGCCAGCTCCTGGTCTGTGCCCCTTTAAGCTTGTTAAGATCCATCACGTCATTTACGCTGTTACCTTGACACATTGCAGGGTTGTGGACATAATGATTCTACAGAAGAGCAAATTAAAACGTTTCTTCATGATTAGAAGGTTAAATGAGGGAAGGCTGTGGTAGTTAGAGGGGGAGATAAGGGGTTCTGAGGAGGCAGAGCTCAGGGGACTCTTGGGTGATTAGAAAATTAGGCTGGCTAGACAGAGGAATGTGGGTTTTACAAATTATAGGAGCTGAGCAGGAATCGAGAAGTGACGGTCGCGGTCGCTCTGGGTGCTGGCTCTGCTGCCTGGCTTCAGCTGTGAGCCAGGAGGTAGATTTCTGTTCTCCCTTGAACTTCTGGAGCTAATTACCCCAGGGAAGTAGCAGGCCCCAAACCCATCAGTGATGGCGGAAGGCCGGCCACTCATCTTCAGCTGCTCTGGTTTTCCTTCAGCTTGAGTCCAACTGAGAGCGGAACCCAGTTAGTTAGGGGCCAGCAGGGGCAGGTCGCAGCTGCTGTTCCTGCCTCTGCTCCCAGTTCTCTTCTCTCTTCTGCTCTCACTTTGACTTTCTCTCTGACTTCATGACTCCTGAGCTTCCGGTCCACCAAGAAGAGCACCAAAAGAGCCAAGGGTGTTAGCATCTAGCTCCCTGGATAAACTAGTGCGTCCACAGTGACTTCAGCAGGATTCTCCTCTAACACTGTTGTTGTTCTAGGCTCAAGGTCAGCTCTGAGTTTTGTGTCTGCCACTAATGTCCCCTTCTGTGTAAACTGAGAATCTTTCTTGAATCTCACGGTCACTGCTGCTCCGGTTTCTGTCCTTGGTTTGCAAAACCTGTACTGAAAGACCACCCTCCTACTCATTTCTAAGCCCTCCCTGTTCCAAAGTACCCTGAGCCATGCTGAACTATGACATAGCTTTCGTCTTTAGAAATCTCCAGCAAAAAGTCCGCTTTGGCTTCCGGCCATCTCCCAGACTCGGGGCTCACATTTTAGCGCAGTCCCCAGCGTGGCCCGTCATAGTTTATCACTGTGCTGGCCGCTTTCCTTCTGCTAAGAGACGGATGGATTCCCACAGATAACCCATGCTTTCTTGTTTCCGTGCCTGTTTTTTCCATCTAGAAAGATCTGCTCACACGTGCCTACCAATCAAAACAGGCCTTTTATCAAGCTCCATCTTGAGTGTATATCACGCTCTCTCTCACCCCGCCAGATGCAGTTTTCCGGTTTTTCTTCCTTTGCAGCCCATCCGAGGGGGCATGCTCTTGGGCTATTTGCTGTGTGGTCTTCTCTCATCTGGTGCTTAAGATTTCGAGTTTACATGGTGGGCACAGGTGGCCTTTCTGTTGGTAGAACCCTCTGGGTACAGTTCCAGAAGTGTGAGGTGGGAATGAAGCTGGGTCGGTGGAGGAGCCATGCCTTTTCCCGCAAGTGTTTGCTGCATTTCTTGTATATGATGTAAGGTGTAACATACTATGCAGAGGACGTGGATTCAGAGAGTCCCGTGACAAGGACATCCACTGGCTTCAGGAATTGAGAATCATGTGGTAGAAAAAGAAATGGTCACAATTATACTTTGAGAAAATACAGTAAAGAGGCCTTTAAAGCAAGGGTTCTCAGCCTGTGGGTCGTGACCCTCTGAGGGTCGCTTATCAGATATTGACATTATGATTCAGAGCAGCAACCAAATTGGTAATGAAGCAGAGATGAAAATAATTTTACAGCTGGAGGTCACGAGAACGTGAAGAGCCGTATTAAAAGGTTACAGCGTTAGGAAGGCTGAGAACCAGGGCTTGAGTAAAGGGGATGAGACTTCACCTCTGCTGGGGCTGGCAGCTTGGTGGTGGAAGGGTGGGGGAGGGAGCTGAGGACGCAGAAGGGTCTCCTATGGTTGGGTGTCTGGTTTGAGTTCTTAAGATAAAGGATGGCAGGTAAGGAAGAGGGAGGGGGGCTGGGAGAGTACAAGACACTTTCTGCCCCTGCTCACCCAAGGATGGCTTGTTTCTGCTCCAACTGAGATAACCTACAAGACCAAACCCTTTGATTCTTCTTAGAGACACCCACCTCCACCCTGCCCGCCCCACCCCTCCTCTATCCCACCTCCACCCTACTCCCACTCCCCTCCCTCTCTGGAGGCTGCCGCTAGTTGAAGGTCACTCACTGTCCTTTTCTTCTCCACTGTGTTACAGAAGAAGTCTGTGGTTGTGGCGAGCTTCACAGCGCTGTGCCTCTTGCTGCTGGCCATGCGCCTCGTCAATGACATGAATTTCCCTTTGCTTCTGAGCTGCTTTGGACAACCCGAGACAAAATGGATCCCACTGCCCTACACATTCAGGCAGCCTCTTCGGATTCACTATGGATACATCAATGTGAGGACCCAAGAGGTAAGACTTGAGAGGGTTACCTGGGAGAGTATCCATGGCAACTGTTTGCCAGCAGGAGCAAGATGGCTTCGGAGTCATTGCATTTACCCATTCTGTCCCACTGAGATTCTTTGGGTCCCTGACAACTTTTTTTCTGTTTTCTATTCTTAGCTACTTCTGGACACATGTCTAAAATCCTTCACCCCCTCCCACATCAAACCATCAAATCACTGGCTTCCTATGGAGTTGAGGAAGCAATTACCTGTTTTCCTGGTGGCTTGAAGCTTAAATACATATCTCTCCGTTTAGATGCTCTGATCAGTGGCGACCAGCTGGAGAACCGACTGGCTTTATTTCCTGTAGGTCACTTGGTTGGCGACAGCTCTTTATAGAACTAGAGAAAAGCATCTGTCTCTTTATAACTCTGACATCCTTAGACCTAGAGCTGAAAAAAAAAAAAAAAAACGGGAAGCTGAATTTTAACATTTGCAGTGGCTGCAGAGATAATGGGATTTAACATCTTCCCACATTTAAAGGGGTTAAAACCCTCTAAATCCTGCGGTTGCTGAACTTTTAAATCTTTGTAACCAATTGGTGTCCCAGGTGAGGGTGGCTGTATATTGACAGCTAGGAAGAGTACACTATTCTGGAAGGGTGTATGTGTGGGTGTGCACACCCACAGACACACACACGCACTTGCCTAAAAGCCAGGAGACACGCCTTGGACAGTTTAGGATCAGATTCTCGGGGCTGTGTGTGCACTTTTTGTTTTGGTTGTGAGGTGAAGTCTCTGATCTAGAGCTCACCATGTAAGGTACACTGACTGACCAGGAGTCCCAGGACCCACCTGTTTCTGCCTCCCCAGGGCTGGGATCACAAGCATGCGCCACCAAACTAACAATTTGTTTTCTGTTTGAGAATTTCACATGTGTTTTGATTGGGTCCATTCCAATGTCATGTAGTCCTTTGGAACCTCATAGAGTACCACTGGCTTGATCTGTGTGGGCTGAGGCCCCTGTGAGTTCTTCTGTACAATGGCCCTTTGTGTTCAGAGCGCCTTTCATGGCAGCCCGTCTGCCCTATGAACGAAAATTCTCAGGACCCTAACTTAGGTGCTCATGTTCACGTGGAAAAGACTTCAGAGTTTTGTCTCATGAAGTACAGGACGGGGGAAACCCCTCAAATGATGAGGAACAAGCAGAGCTAGTGAAGCTGTTCTCAGTCATTTTCGTGGGGATGGGGTAAGTGGGAGGCATGGCTAGTGTTGATTCAGAGTCAAGCCTGTTTGAAGTTGCTGGTGACAGGTTCAGTCACCAGGGCATCCCAGCACTGAGGAGAATCTGGGGGCCGGAGCCTGCTGGAGAATGGCTCTTCTGTGGCCGGTGGTGCGCCCGAGTTGTCGCTTCCTGTTCATTTCACTCTTTGAACATTGTTTTCGTATCTCCTGGATTTATAGACTGTTTATTAGACCTTTATAGTTGAGGGGGAGGCACCGTTAATAATATACAAATTCCTCAGAGTCTTGCTGGATGTGCATCCTCTAATTGGTTTTAAATTAACTTTGGGAAGTCTCTTGTTTGAATTTGTCGCGTGTCCTGATAAATTGATTACCTGTATAAAAATGTGTCTTTTACGGAAGAGCTCGCCTCGCTCTTGTCTCTCGTTACTTTTATGTCTGGCTGTCACTTAATATTCTGTTACTCTGCAGTTATGGGTTAATCATTTCACAAGTGCCTGTCACAGGCTGAAAACGGAGCGTATGGATAAAGTACCTCATGAATTATGCCCATGAGCAATGTACCCACTGGATGGTAAAGCCCTGTGATGTGTCTCAGTATTAGTGAATCAGGTTTTGGAGTAGCCTCTCCTTCCTATTGCCATAGACTCTGCCCTGCCTCCACTCCTGTGGTGAACTGTACCCTCGTAAACCATGAGCTCAAACATCTCCCTTAAATTTCCTATTTTCAGGTATATTCAGTCACAGCTATGAGAATAACTAAGACAGATCTCCATGTAAAATTACAGTTAAATACATTTCTTATGCTTTCCTTAGGGTAGCCTGTGTATCGACATGAGTGTTGGTCATGTCCCTGGATGAGGGGACAACAAAGGGAATTGCTTCTGTGTCTGTGCTCTTGGGGTGTCATGACTTGAGGATCTCAACATTGATTCCGCTACCTAACACTCAGGTCTCTGACTTTGATTCTTGAAGGCCTTCTCATCATCCCTCATACTTAATGTACTCATCCCAGGGAAAGACTGTTGGGAGGATATTATTTAGAAAGGCCCAGTGCACAGCCTTCTGGAGGTGAACAGGGGTCGCAGAAGGGGGGGGGGGGGTAATGACCCAAGTGTAGAGGCTAAATAGATGTCTTTGTATTTAGCCTAGAGCTTTGTTTCTTGCTCTCTGAGGAGTCTGTTGAAGGTGGTAGCAAATCCCTTCCAGCATGGCTGCAGAGAGTCGAATGGAACGCGCAGTAGGTTCCTCCCACCTCCCTTTCTTCTCCAAACCTGTGCAAGCTGATTGTTGAGGAAGGGAGTCTTGAGACAGTCTTGAAATCAATGCCACTCACTGGGTGAGGACTGAAGTCTTGGATGTCTTTGCTGGCCGCCCCTGCTGTATCTCCTGTAACTCATGACTGACCCATAGCTTCTCAGGCTTCCCTTACTATCTCAGTGTTATCCATAATGCAATCTCACTAAAATGGTTTCGATTTTTAGTAAGGAAGTGTTTGTATTAGCTTAAACTTTAAGATTATAGTTCATTATTAAGACGGGACAGGAACTTGAGCAAGACCGGAGTAGAAAACACCAAGGAACACAGCTTACTGACTAGTTTTCCAGCTGGCTCAGTGAAGCTCTGCCCTGCCTAAGAAGAGTGCTGTCCACACTCCTATTAGTCACGATCAGGAATCTTCTCCAGACGTTAGGTTAGTCTGATCTGGGCCATTCTTGAGTTAGGTTCCTTCTTTTCAGGTAGTTGTGTCAAATCTACAATTGAAACCCAACCAGCACAATCCACTTCTTGTCAACTTGAGATAGTCACACACACATCACTATTAAGTCATAACCTTTCCTTCCCTATTTGTCACCAAGATCTCATGGTTAATATCATAATATAAAATACAACAGAACTTTGAAAGCCACAGAGTATTTTAAAAATTATATAAATATTTTTAAGAGTTAAATATGAGGAACCATTCTGTGGTATAAGGGCAGAGTAATTCTATTATCCACACACATTGAACATGACTTTAGAAAGATTTGTCATCCATAGGTGTTTAAAAAACGATATATACTTACACTTGCCATTATTCTGTAAACGCCATTGTTTCCTAAGCATTCATCTTAAATTAATCGTACTAGATAGGGCAGGATAAAGGATCTAGACACTTGCCCCATTTGGTTCGAGGCATCATTGTTCCTCTTGTTGAGGTCATGGCAAATGAAGGGAAAAGAGAGAGATTCACCTTGGGCTGGGTTCCAATCTTAGTTTTCTACCATGGACTCAGCCACTGTGGTGGCATTCTCCGATGTGACCTGGTGTGAAGGCAGACATTACCTAGGGCAAGCCACACCCGTAGGGCATTGGCATTGGCTACTGGAGAATCCATCACTGATGACCACGGGAGGCTACACTTAGACTTTCTGGTGACCAGCTTCATGGCAGCCGTCCTCCTCAGATCTGATCAGAGAACCAGAATGTGCTAGAACTGGGTGGAGGTTGGTGTTTGGAAAAGAGTGCCCTTTTCTATGATGTTCAGGAACCTAGAACACAGCAGGCAAGACTAGGACTGTGTTTTCAGTCTCTTTAACAATTTAACTAGGCGGAATTGCATCTCTTTAAAACCCGAGAATCTTGGAAAGGCTCAAGTAGACAAAATACGAAGACTTTGCAGCAGTTCCTCTGATAGACAGGCCATGCTAGTCTAATTATAGATGCACATACCAGATTGGTGTTGCAATAGAATTTCCTAAATTGTGGTTATTGTAACAATTAAGGAACAAAGCTGACTTTCTTGGCAATAAAAGAACATGCTCACCACATTCAAATAAATGTGCACTTGTAACTAATGCTGGCATGAATGGATTTTTTATGTTTGGATATAGAGGCTTTAGATTTTACAGAAGTATATGGAGAGCAATTATATGCAGATGTATGCTCTCAAAATTTTAAACTGATCAACTTAATTGTTAAAGTTTGGGTATTCCCATTTGTGTAATTATAAAGAAATTTCAACTCTTCAGTTACTTTACAGAAAGAAACAAATTAATGTCTAATAAAGGTTGCTTATTTGTGAAACATGCAGGTTGGGTTTTTCATTTTAAACCTGACTTTTCATTTTTCTAAGGACTTTGAGTGGTGGGGGAACGATTTTATTTCTCAGGCAGGCTGTGAGATAGCAAACCCTCACTCGGGAAACACATCTCGGGACAATGGAAGACAAAATGCAAAGGTGGAGAGGATTGATACCACCGAGGGTTGAGACAGTTCCAGGGTGACCTTGTGGCTCGTGACACAGGAACATTACACTTAGCTCTGACTGTCAATCTGACAAGTCTTTTCTCATGGTGCAGAGAGCCTCAGTGAGGAACTGTCCAAACTGTGGTGGTGGGCGGGCATGCCTGTTTTCCTGTTGGAGTTAATTCAGATGGGAACTCCCACCCTGCATGTGGACAGCAACGTCCTGTTGGCTGAGTCAGGGGCTGTGAAGAAGGAGCCAGCTGAACAGTGAGGATGCATTCCTCCTTCTCCTCCTCTGCTCTTGACTGGAGTGCAATGTGACCCAGCTTGTTTTAAGCTCTTACAGACTTGACTTCTCAGCCATGATAAAGTCCTTCCCCCTAGGTTGCTTTTGGTCAGTGTTTTCTCACAGAAGCGGAAGTGGACCTAAGACGGGTAGTCAGGAGCAGGATGGAGCAGGTGGGAGAACCTGGGGAAGCCAGGAGAAGAGCAAGCGAGAAAGAATCTGCATTGTCTCTGAGCCCATGAACAAGGCACTGCTCCCAGAACTCCAGTG